TGGCTTAGGCGAGGCTATAGGGGAATTGACCAGATAACTATTGATGTCTAGATTTAGAATGTTGTGATTCTAGCCACTCTTCAGATGTGCAGTTTGGATTTTCCCATTCCCTTCAATCACCACATTTGGCAAATACGTTGTTAGCAACAAATTATATTAATAATAACACCTGGTAATATCTGTTTAGCCTCTTTCTTCTGACAAGCTCAAAGCCCTGCCAGATATTATCTTGGCTGTTTTTAAGGCAGCCTGTAAGGCAGGGTGTTGTAAGGAGTCTTCTCACTGCTTCACAGATAAAGAAAGGAAGGCCCACAGGACCTGGTAATAACGCAGTGACTGGGACCCTGTTTTCCTCCTCCCAACTGAGAGCTCTGAGCTCTCGTTTGAAGCTATTGCTGCTTCCCACCGTGCAAGACAGGGAGAGATTCTTCCGTCAGACCCACAGGGAGCTCGTAACTGGCGTCTGGTGTCTGCAGCAGAGATGGGGGCGAGACCCTACATGTCAGCTCAGCCCTAATCACCAGCCCATAGCTGGGTGTGTCTGGGAGAGAGACTGAGCAATAACGTTGATGAGACACCTTTTCCTGCACTGAATCAGATTGTGGACTGCTTGGGTGCCCTTGCCCTTAACCTGTCCATTCATCAGTAACCCTTCCCACGCCGATCTCAGTGCCAGGTGCCGAGAATGGTAAAAGGTGTGCCTTTGGGCCCCTGCCCTGGAGATGAGTTCCAAAGGGGAACATGGACCCTGCTCTCAGAGAGGTCTAGTCTGATGCAGGAAGCAGGACATAGCATAAAGATGGCATACACATACCTGCCAAGAAATCATTGGTTGACACAGGTACAAACTATTACTAAGCGCGTCTTAAAATAATTGGGTGATTCGAGGCTAGCTGATTCTTTAGGGTATGAAGGGAGAATGTTTCATTGAATAACTCAGAATTCTTGGCTGCCTAAGACTAACTGTCCCCCTCTGTGATATTAATTCTTTTGTGAGGGTGGTCTGGACGAGGTGGTGCAAACCAGTGTGGCAGGGAGCAGACCTTCTCTTACCAAGTAACAAACATGGTGGCTTTGCCTTCCCTTCCCTGTTCTGGTCGTAGGTGGACACCTATGTAAATGAAGATGTCGAGAGCTTAAGGAAGACCGTGCAGGACTTGCTTGCCAAGCTGCAGGAGGCTGAGCGTCAACACCAGTTAGACCGTGTGGCTTTTGAGGTGAGATCTGGGATGTGGGGAGAAGGTGCCCTAAGGGATGGGCTGCTGGATGGAGGTGCCAGTGACGTTCTCGGCTTGGACTTCATGTCTCTCTGGCTGGGTGCCACCAACTGGAAAGGCAAGGCTTTGAGGCCTGGGGCACTTCTTGTCTGCTTTTCCCCCTCCTGGACACTCACAGTGGTGTACTGTTCAAGGCTGGCTCATAGTTCAAAGGTCAGCCCTTGATTTTCTGCTCAGATGAAGTCGAGTAGTAATACTAGTATGGGACAGCAGGTCATTCAAAAGTCATTTCTGTGTGTACCATGATAAGAGTCACTGGGCTCTAAGGCTCCATGCAGGCAGGGGCTGCTGCTGTCCTGATCACCACTGAGTCCCGGTGTCTGGCACAATACCTGGCTTAAGGTGGGTGCTTTGTGAATGCGGCTGGATGAGTGCTGTCAGCGGTGTTGTCATAGAAAGAGCTGTGCCCGTGGGGTCAGAGGGCTTTAGCTCTAGGCTTTACCATGCAGAGCTTTGTGATCTGGAACGAGGATCTTAATTATTGTTATAAAGGGTAACAGTAGATTTTTTAAAAAAGTAAGACTACATTATTATAGAAGATTAAAACAGAAGTCTATTAATGGAGGGCAAAGCCCCCTACTATTAAGAATACGTAAGGTTGGCCGGGCGCGGTGGCTCACGCCTGTAATCCTAGCACTCTGGGAGGCCAAGGCGGATGGATTGCTTAAGGTCAGGAGTTCGAGACCAGCCTGAGCAAGAGTGAGACCCCCGTCTCTACTAAAAATAGAAAGAAATTATCTGGACAACTAAAAATATATTATTATAGAAGATTAAAACAGAAGTCTATTAATTGAGGGCAAAGCCCCCTACTATTAAGAATACGTAAGGTTGGCCGGGCGCGGTGGCTCACGCCTGTAATCCTAGCACTCTGGGAGGCCAAGGCGGGTGGATTGCTTAAGGTCAGGAGTTCGAGACCAGCCTGAGCAAGAGCGAGACCCCCGTCTCTACTAAAAATAGAAAGAAATTAATTGGACAACTAAAAATATATGTAGAAAAAATTAGCCAGGCATGGTGGCGCATGCCTGTAGTCCCAGCTACTCAGGAGGCCAAGGCGGGTGGATTGCTTAAGGTCAGGAGTTCGAGACCAGCCTGAGCAAGAGCGAGACTCTGTCTCTACTAAAAATAGAAAGAAATTAATTGGACAACGAAAAATATATAGAGAAATTAGCCGGGCATCACTATGCCCGGTGATGCCTGGGACTACATGCATGCCTGTAGTC